ACACGCTTCACACTCATAAACAAGACTCTACAAGACGTGGCTTATGAGACATCATTCTAGAATCATTCTAAAACTTGTGCTCTGATTATCAAGTTTGTCACTACCCAAGGGTACCCCCCCTAGACGTAACATGGCACATAGGACCCCGAAAGAAACCATGTAAGCCATTGAGCATATCATAACATAAGTAAAGAACAATAGAGAGTAAAAACACATTTCGAGTCTGAAGAAATTTTTCATAAAAGCATACGGAAGTCTAGACTTGTCTCATAAAATCATTTATTACAATCGAAGACTCAAATAAGGTCACATCCCTTAGCAACATAGTTCTCAAATGAAAGTACAAGAAAGGAAACTAGATTATCCTCATCTGTCCTCGAACCATGAGGACTCACAAATAAGCAAGGGAATAGTCAATCCAAGCTTTTTCACAAGAAAGGGATCACCTCAAGGAACGGAACCTACACTTATAGAAAATGTAGAAGAAATAAGGGTTAGCACAAATATTCACTAAGTATGATAGACATGCAAGAAATCATTGAAAACGTGCTAAAAATAACATTTTGGTTGAAAATCATGCATTTTACCAAGTTTGACCACATCATGAATATATTGGAATTCATAAGTCATAAACCATAATGTCATGCATAAATCTTCATATCTTAATAGCAATATATCATAAGTTCCCTCAAAGTCTACTTGAGCAATGCATGAGTGATATCTCATACTCCTACCCCATACTAAGTAAAACTTCTTGAGTAGCTATGGTCTATAAATCATCTTCTTGTCCATATTAACATATTTAGGGACTAAGCCTTAACCGACATAGACCATGTGAGCTAACATGGAATCTGGTGTCTACCCCACACCGAAAAGGGGTTGTCCTACTTGCCTAAGGTAGAACCATACTCTTAGCTTAGGTGGATCTATTAGCTAAAGGCCTATGAGGGCACATAGTTTATGGGATAAGGAGATTGCTACTAGAAACTCGCCCTCTACTAACGGAGGAGCTTCCATTTCAAGAGACTTATTCTAGAAATCTGCCCTCTACTAAGGGAGGAGCGTCCATCTCATTCACAATATCCACTCGGTACTAAGCATAATTCCCATTGAGTTTATATTAAGTCTCGACTTAAATTAATAATTATGGAAGAATACCTTGACACTCAAACCAACATAACTCATGTTAAAGCTCATAGATTCATTAGGTGGGTCTACTCTTCCAACCATAGAATCACTAAGTGTGAAAAACCTTTCACACCATATCAAATTCATACAATGTTGTGTGCAAAAGGATAATCATCAAATCAACACAACAACTAGATCATAAATGTCTTCACTTTACCCTCAAAGTGTTCATAATGCATATATATACCGCTCGTAAACATACATACTTTTCATGCCTTTCCCTTGAAGTACCATAAATCACATTCAATCAGCATATCTAGAATCACTACATTAGACATGAATGAGAACATGCTTCAATTACTATCATTACTATAAGCATGATTTCAAAATACTTTTGTTTCCACAATTCAACAACACTTTTAGATCTAATTTAGGAAAATAGGGGAATTCGTCATAAATCAACAATAAATCATCAATTCAATTATTATCCATCATAAATCAACCATTAAAAACGTTTTTAGAAAGAACCAACGAGAATTAAGATAAACCCTAACTTTGGGAAATTCACTACTTTTTAAATTGAATTTGGAGGAACTCCTTGGATGGAAATTATCCAAGGATGAAAGACTAGCATACCTTAGTAATGATTCTTCAAATAAATTGAGTGAAATAGCCTTGATTTTTCAAGCGTTAGCTCCAATTTTACTCTTCTTCTTCCTTGAGTTCTAGAGAGAGAAATTTTATGTAGGAGATGAACTTTGGGATTTTATTTGGGTGTTTGGAAAATATGAAGTAATTGGGTGTATTTTGACTTAAAACACCTTATATAGTTGTACAAAAACAATACAAAACGACCTCACTTTAATAGGACTTTAAAAGAAAATTCCTAAAACACCCCCTTATTTAAGTCACTTTCCCAGGGTCCCACGAGCCGTGGTAATGACCACGAGCCATGGTCCCATCCGTGGTCTTGAGGCAGTAGCATGGCACCTTGTGCCTTTAGCCCTCAAACCCAATGCAATCCTACAAGGGGCTCCACGAGCCGTGGAGCTAGCCACGAATTGTGGTCCTTCTCGTGGACTTGAGGTAGTGGCTAGGCCACTTTCTCTCCATCATCACATTCCTAACTCTTCTCCACGAGCCTTCCCATGAGTCGTGGTCTTCACCACGAACCGTGAAGTGGCTCCTAAATGAGAGCCTAATTTGGGCAGATTTTGGGAGCTCACTGCCTAGACTACCACGAACCATTCCACGATCCATGGTCCCCACCACAAGTCGTCGGGGTGGTCGTGGTCACAAGGGTAGTGTCTAGGGGAGAGTGGATTGTTTTGGTCCTCTCCCTTGGCCTTTTCCCACCTCCTTGGTTGTTACCCTCTCATTTTAGTTCTAGTTTAGTCTACGAATTTCTGGAATGTTACAAAAAACTTAGGCGAACAGCATTTCCGAATGAACTCGGTGAGATCAAAATGAAATTGAATTAGCGAGCTAAAGGACTGAAGGGGGCATCGCGAAAATGAATGGCGATCCCGATCTGGTTCGCCTAAAATTAAAGGATGATAAGTGACGAAATAGGCGATAGACAAGGATGATCGACGAGTCACCGACTGGTCGGCGAAGCCCAAATTTCCTCATCAATTGACTCCATAAATCCATTCCTTTGGATCGATATAAATTTATTTTTGGAAGAGAGAAAGGGCATTCAGTCATTTTATAAAAACAAGAGAGAGAGCAAAAATATTATTGTTGTCGATTTTTAGCTATTTGGGCAAGAGATTTCAATTGGGTATTGGAAGAGAAGATATTTTGTTTATCTTAGAAATTTGATTTTCAATACCCAACTATGGAGCATGTAATTGGTATTGAATTTCTCCCTTTTATGATGATTAGCTAAAACTCCAATCTTAGGGGTTCGACAATGTGACTAATTGTGAAGTTTGGCTTAATGGGTGTTAATTATTATTGATTATAGTGCTACTTCATATTGGGTCTGATTTATAGTTGTGGTTCAACTGCTCTATTGAATGTTTATTTCGATATATTTTTTGTGCTTTAGGCTTGCTTGAGAAAAAGGTATAAAGCCAAAGTGATAAGTTGGTAGTAGTAGGTGATATGAAAGGAAATGATGAAGCTCAAGCTCATGAAGAAGATAAAGGCATTGAGGAAGAAGAGATACTCATCCAACAAAGCATTACTAAAGAGTCACGAAAAGATGTAGAAAAAAGCAGTCAAATCTCAAAAGTGGAGCAACCTCTCCCCAAAATACCTCCTCCATTTCCCCAACATCTCAAGAAGAAGAACGAGGATGAAAAGTTCAAGAAGTTCTTATCGGTGTTCAAGACATTATTGATTAATCTCCCTCTAGTGGAGGCATTGTTGGAGATGTCGGGTTATGCCAAGTTTATGAAGTAGTTAGTCACAAAGAAAAGAATCTTGGACATCGAAACAATTGAAGTTTTTCATAGTTGTAGTGCAATTATGACTAATGAGATGATCAAAAAGAAAGAAGATTCCGGAGTTTTCACCATCCCTTGCACTATCAGTATGCTCCAATTTGCCAAGGCCCTAGTGATTTAGGAGCAAGCATAAACCTAATGACATATGCAATCTATAAACAACTTGGGTTAGGTGAATCGAAATCCACAACAATGAAAATCTTGATGGCAGAGCGATCAATTAAACACCCGTGGGGATACTATATGACATCGTGGTAAAGGTTGACTGATTCATCTTTCCTACTGATTTTGTCATTCTCGATTGCGAGATGATACTGAAATCCCCATTATTTTGGGCAGACCATTCTTGGCAACCGGGAGAGCGTTGATGGATGTTGAAAGTGGAGAATTGAAGTTTCGAGTGAACTAAGATGAAGTCACATTTAATGTGTGTAGGTCAATGAAGCATCCAAGCGTTATTCATGTGGTCTCGACTATTGATGTAATTGATGAAGCGGTGGTTAGTGTGAGCCATTTGATGTGTATGAGTGAACCACTTGAGGTTGTGATTGCAAAGTATGATGAGATCGAAGTCCAAGGTTATGATGAGGTAGTAGCTGCCTTTTCGAATTTGGGAGAATATTCAAAGACTCCATTGAAGCTGGATATTGATTTAAAAGATTGAGAAAGTCCTCCCACTAATCCATCTACGGAGGAACCACCGAAGCTTGAGTTGAAAGTGTTCCCTTCACATCTTCGATATGCATTCTTGGGGGCGAATAACACCTTACATGTAATCATTGCAGCTGATTTTCTTGAATGGCAAGTAAAGTTTCTTCTTGAGGTGTTTAGAAGATATATCAAAGCTACAGGATAGACTATCGCTGACATTATGGGCATTCCTCCCGGCATTTGCACACACAAGATTCAGCTTGATAGCGAATGTAAATCGAGTGTTGAACATCAAAGGAGATTGAAACCACCGATGCAAGAGGTGGTAAAAAAGGAGATAATAAAGTGGTTAGATACAAGTGTGTGATCTACCCTATTGCGGATAGCAAGTGGGTGAGTCCAATATAATGTGTACCGAAAAAGGGAGGCATCACGGTAGTCCCAAATGAATAGGGGGAACTTATGTCTATGAGACTGGTAACCGGATGGAGAGTATGCATGGATTACCAGAAGTTAAACTCGTGGACCGAAAAAGATCACTTTCCCATGCCTTTCATGGATCAAATGCTTGATCGACTTTGAGAAAGAGGATGGTATTACTTTTTGGATGGGTACTCTGGTTATAATCAAATCTTTATTTCTCCGAAAGACCAAGAGAAAACCACCTTCACATGCCCATATGGAACTTATTCTTTCAAACGGATGTCGTTCGGGTTGTGTAATGCTTTGACAATGTTTCAACGTTGCATGCTATCTATTTTCGCTGACATGGTAGAAGATTCAATGGAACTATTCATGGATGACTTCTCAGTTGTGGGTGATATTTTTGAAACATGTCTAGAGCAGTTGTGGCAGGTCCTTCAAAGATGTGTGGAGACAAATTTTGTCCTAAATTGGGAAAAATGCCACTTCATGGTTAGGGAAGGTATAGTTCTTGGTCACAAAGTGTCACAAAAAGGACTGGAGGTAGATAAAGCAAAGATTGAAGTGATTAAGAAGTTACCACCACCAATCTTGGTGAAGGGTATTTGTAGTTTCTTTGGGCATGTCGGCTTTTACCGGAGGTTCATCAAAGACTTCTCAAAAATCGCACACCCCTTATGCAAACTTTTTAGAGAAAGTGGTGAAATTCAACTTTGATGATGCATGTATGGTAGCCTTTAAGTGTTTGAAAGAAAAATTGATCTCCACCCCGGTTATCATTAGTCCTGATTGGTCAGCACCCTTCGAAGTGATGTGTGATGCAAGTGGTACAGCATCAGGTGTCGTGTTGGGGCAAAAACGCAACAAACTATTTCATCCCATTTACTACGCAAGCAATACTCTGAATGGTGCTCAACGTAATTATACAATTACGGAGCAAGAATTATTCGCGGTGGTATATGCATTTGAGAAATTTCGGCATACTTGCTAGGCACTAAAGTGGTTGTTCACACTGATCATGCTGCTCTGCGTTATTTGATAGCAAAGAAGGATGTCAAGCCAAGATTGATAAGGTGGGTGCTATTGTTGCAAGAATTTGACTTTGAAGTCAAAGATAGAAAAGGTTGTGAAAATTAGGTGGCTGACCACCTATCAAGACTAGAAGGCAAGGAGAATGACGAGCTGCATATAGACATAAATGATGCATTTCTCGATAAATAGGTATTCACGGTAACTCTATAACAAACTCCTTGGTATGCTGATTTTGCTAACTATGCAGTATGTGGGTTGATACCGGAAGAACTAAACTTCTATCAACGAAAGAGGTTTCTGTTCGATGTCAAGAAATACTTTTGGGATGAACCATACTTATTCATAGAGTGTGCAGACCATATCATTCGTCGATGTGTGCCTGAAGAAGAATTCAATGAAATTCTCCATTTTTGTCATTCTTCACCGGTTGGTGGTCATCATGGTGGAGTGCGTACAACTGCTAAAATCCTTCAAAGTGGTTACTACTGGCCATCCCTTTACAAAGATGCTCATGAATTTGTTCAGAAATGTATGCAATGTCAAAGACAAGGTGGGGTGTCCAGAAGACATGAGCTTCCTCTAAAACCTATTTTGGAAGTTAAGTTATTTGATGCTTGGGGAATAGATTTCATGGGTCCATTTGTCAGTTCGTTTGGTAATAAGTACATTTTGGTGGCAGTAGATTATGTTTCTAAATGGGTAGAAGTTGTGGCATTACCAAACAATGAAGGGAGAAGTGTTGTTCAGTTCCAAAAATGATACATCTTTGCTAGGTTTAGCACTCCTCAGGCTATTATTAGTGATGGAGGATCCGACTTTTGCAATAGGCTTTTTGCATCCGCATAGAGCAAATATGGGGTGAGACATAAAGTAGCAACGCCATATCATCCTCAAACGAGTGGCCAAGTGGAAGTTTCAAATCAGGAGATCAAGAGTATCTTGGTTAAGACCGTAAATGCAAATAGGATTGATTTGTCTTGAAAGTTAGATGATGCACTGTGGGCATATCGCACCGCCTACAAGACACCAATTGGTATGTTTTCATATCAACTAGTCTTTGGGAAATCTTTCCATTTACCGGTTGAATTGGAACACAAAGCATTATGGGCATTAAAGGCTCTAAATCTGGACTGGGCAAGGACTTCAAAAGGAAGAGTAGATCAGCTCAATGAATTGGATGAATTCCTATTTATGGCCTATGAAAGTTTACCAATCTACAAGGAAAAGATGAAGAAATGGCACGATTCTAGAATCCTTAAGAGGGAATTCTGAGTTGGGGATTAGGTGTTGATGTATAATTCTCGACTAAGACTCTTTTCGGGAAAGCTCAAATTCAAATGGTCAGGCCCATTTAGAGTAACACAGGTGTTCAGTAATGGAGCCATTGAAGTCGAAGGTAAAGAAGGTCATGCCTTCAAAGTTAATGGGCAACGCTTGAAATTATATTTTGGAGAATGCCATGAAATTTCTGTGATTGAAGTGGTATATCTAGAGGATTCTTGAGAGCATTTCCACGTCGTTCCATGATGTTAAATAAGGTGTTTCTTGGGAGACAACCCACGTGTTACTGTTTTGAATAATGTGTGTTGAATGTGTAGGTGTAGGAGACTTTGCGAAGTTAAGACTCCACGGCGAGTTGCCGAGTCAGTTCGGCGATTCCGAAGTTGATCACCTTATTGGAGTAAACAATGGGCTGAGACACTAGAACATTAGGCGGGATACTTGCACCACTCGGCGACTCGCCAAAGTGATTGGGCGACTCGCCGAAGTGATTGGGCGACCCGACTTTTACCGCATTTTTGGATTAGCCCTAGTAGCCCGGAATCTTAGATCATTTGGCAAGGCTTCAATTCCATTAGGTGATGGGCTGATGTATTCGGCAGACTCCCTATTGTTCACCTTTTTACCCCCACATGGACTCGTTTCACACTGGAAATTTCGGCGAGCTCCAGACCATTTGGCGTATCGCCAAACAGTTCGGCGACTCCAACTAGTTTAAACCATATGGCCGCCTAGTGAAGATTCCTTGTCTCCCTACTCTGCTTGTTTAAGTGCAGTAGTTTAGTTTTATTTTTGTTGATGTTTGATCTATACTCACATTGAGGACAATGTGAATGCTTTTGGTGGGGGTGGTAGGAGTTTGTGAGAAATTGTAATTGTGGTTGTTTTTGTGCTAATTTGAGTTATCAGTTATGATCAATACCGATGACTTAAATTATGCTCTTGATTGAACAAAATGAATGTGCGGCTACGATGAGGCCAATTGAAGTTGCATATACAAGGTGTGAACTTTTTGCATCTCGTTGAGACTAGATAGTTGTCAAATAAAGTCTCTTGTGATGAACACTGCACACCAGCTCGAATGAGTCTCGTTTGACATTGGTGCCAATGCCTTGTGTGATGAGCTTACCTTGAACATTGTGTGTGATGACACCTAGAATTTGCCCCGTTGGTCCGATTGAGTAAGTGATGCAAGCACTTGAAATGATCTTACGCAACAATTTTAAAGAGTGAAACAATCTGACGATATACCTCTTTTGTGGCCAACCATGTGAGATGTGTGAACCTTGTTTGAACCCCTTTTGAGCCTTACCCTTTTCTTAAAAGAAACTTGAACAATTGTGATCCCTTTTTATCCATTCATCCATATCTCTCATAAAGTATGGTTTGTTTGAATAGCCAACTTAGGCCAAAAGCCTAAGTTGGGGGTGTGGTAAAAAAGAGAAGGTAATTCAAAAGTGTTACAAATTCCCCTTAGAACAATGGTTTTGAAAAAGATGGAACCCCTCCATATAAAAAAGAAAAAAAAGAAAAGAAAAGAAAAGAGAAAGAAAGAAAAAGAAAAAGAATGAAAAAGTTGTGAAATAGGTGATGAAGATTGCAAAAGAAATGTGGTATTCGGTAATCCATGTGAAAGTGAATAATGGGGTGAATTATGAGCATGATCAAAATATTGAAGAAAAGGAAGAACGTGGTGTTCGGACCACACTTCATGAGGGTAGCAGCCACTGAACCTAAATGAACATACCTTTACACGCAGCCCCGTTACAAGCCTTGAAAATACCTTTGTGATCTTAAGTGAGCTGAAACGAGGGTTGATTGGAAAAAAAGGGCAAACATATGGGTGAAGTCATGCATGTGTTCATCTTTGTGAATGTGAGAGTCATATGTTTCCGGAACTATAAGTTGTGAGAAATTGTGAGTGAATATAGAATCATCTTTGTTGTGAGGGCATTTGAGTACCTTTGTTGAGCGTGAAATTGCATTTGAAGCAAATATTTTGAGCTTAGTTTTAATAATAGTTAGTCACAATTTGAATCTTTGAGGGCACAATTTATCATTGCCTGAGTAGTTGAGTCTTGTTGTGTGCATTCATGTTGAGTCTTTTGTAGCACTATTTGAGACATCCTTATTGAAATGTTGAACTTGAGTTTTACTTGAGGACAAGCAAAAGTTTAAGTTGGGGGTGTTGATGAGTCTGAGATTCGAACTCATTTAAGGCTTCATTAATATAGATTCAATGTCCTCAAATGCTTGATTTTTGCCATAAACTAATTTTAAATCCTTGATTGTCAGGTACATAGATTGAGGATCAAAGCAAGAACACTAACAGACAAAAAGGAACAACACAAGCTAAAAAGGCGTGAAAAGAAAGCTTGATGGTCACCAAAAGAACTCGGCAAATCACCGAGTGTCTCCTAGACGGCCTAAACTTACAGAACACTGAGCCTGAAACAAGAAAAACAAAGGCGAACAACGTTTCCTATAGATGAATCACCGACTGCATCGGCGAAGGGAGATTATGTCACCGAACGAACTAGGTGAGACCAAAATGAAATTGAATTGGCGAGCTAAAGGACTAAAGGGCGCATCGCGAAAACGATCGGCGATCCTGATCTGGATCGCCTAAAATTACAATGTCTGACGGACGATAATGTGACGAAAGAAGCAGATAGAAAAGGATGATCGGTGAGTCACCGACTGGTCGGCGAAGCCCGACTTTCCTAGTCGATTGACCCCAAAAAGCCATTCCTCAGATCGATATAAATTGATTTTTGGGAGAGAGGGCATTCAGTCATTTTTGAAATGAAAAGAGAGAGCAAAAGCATTACTGTTGTCGATTTTTATCCATTTGGGCAAGAGATTTCAATTGGGTATTGGAAGAGAAGAAATTTTGTTCATCTTAGAACTTCAATTTTCAATACCCAGCTATGGAGCATGTAATAGGTATTGAATTTCTCCCTTTTATGATGATTAGCTAAATCCCCAATCTTAGGGGTTTGACAATGTGATTAATTGTGAAGTTTGGCTTAATGGGTGTTAATTATTATCGATTATAGTGCTAATTCATATTGGGTCTGATTTATCGTTGTGGTTCAACTGCTCTATCGAATGTTTATTTTGATATATTTTTTTTGCTTTAGGCTTGCTTGAGAAAGAGGTATAAAGACAAAGTGATAAGTTGGCACTCATGGTGAGTGGGTCATGATGGATTTAGCTCGAGAGAGTGAATTCTACGACTCATGCTATGTATTCAGCTCGAGAGAGTGGAGGTAGTGAGATTATGGACTAGTCCTAATGTTTGAAGAGTTGAGGTTCGAGAGAACTCAATTGACATGGGGTAATTGTTCGAGAGAAAATTGTCTCACCTAAAGTCCACACTCCACTCTACCCATTAATGGTTGGTACTCTTTGTTAGCAATTTACACCCATTGGCCGAATTTAGTGATTGGTTTGTCAACCCCCAAGTTCCTTCTACCTATTTGGTTATTTTCAGTTATCTGTCGAGGTTGTTTGCTGAATTAAAAAACCTTTCATCTTGACATTGTTGTCAACCTTCAAATTTCATTTATAGTCTCCGAAAATCTTTAATCCGTTTAGTTACAAAATTGTTGTTGTGACTTCATAGTTGAATTCGAAATGTGTACCACTCCTTGTGGGATTCGACCCCAACTCATTTAGTTGGGTTTTGTATTGATTTACGATCGTTGACAGAATTGGATGAGGTGTGGTTGAAACGTTAAATCAGTAACCCTGGAATTCGGTGTCTCCCACACCAAAAAGGATTGTCCTATTTGCCAAGGTAAGACCATGAACTTCTAGCTTATGTGTATCCACTAGCTATTGTCTATCTAGACATCCTATGTTGGTAATAGTTTATGGGATATGGGTAATTGCCACTTGTCCACTCAGTACTAAGCATAAATTTCACAAAATGTTTATTAGACTCTTCTTAACTTAACTTTCATAAGACATGAGTAGTCACCTCTTGTCTTATCATCCTAGGGCATGGGTAATCACATCTTGCCTAGTCTTTGTAGGGCATGGGTAATCTCCACTTGACTCAATATTAGATTAACTCCATATCATTGGTTCATTTTAGTTGAGTAAGCCTTTCAACCTTAAGAACCCTTATTATGTGAGAAAACCTTTCATAATCATGCTTTCATATGTATATGAGAAATCCTTTCAACAACACAACAACAACAACAATCATTGATATTTCACTCTCAAAGCATCCTTAAAACATTTACATCAATTTCATGAGAACATGCATGATTTCATAAAATCATCTTTCATAGATCCACAACTCACATTATATCATCTTAACTTAGAAAACATAGGGCATGCATGGGTTCATGGGGATTCATCATAAAATCAAGGAACTATATCAATTCATGCTTGAAATATCATGAAACAATCAATTAAATCAATAATTAAAGACCCCATAACATGGAAGAAACACCCTAACTCAATTG